GCACAGTTCGAGACCCCCTACCCAAGATCCTACGGTTTTGACATCGACAATGGTGTCTACATTGGATTTGGTGGTTCTGGAACTTGCGGGGCTGGAATTGATTTTCGTTGACTCCCCTAGGGTTTCTGGATTGGGGTATTTATAGAGCAAAGAGGTGGTGCGAGGGGCATCGAGGTGGGCACAATCCACTTGGGCGTGCCTGGGGGCCCAGGCGCGCCCTGGTGGGTTGTGCCCCCTCGGGGCACTCCCCCAGGTACTTCTCCGGCCCATCAGGTGTCTTCTGGTCCAAAAAAATCCATGAAAAGTTTCGCTGCATTTGGACTCCGTTGGGTATTGATTTCCTGCTATGTAAAAAACAAGCAGAAAACAGCAACTGGCACTTGGCACTATGTTAATAGGTTAGTCCCAAAAAATGATATAATATGATTGTAAAACATCCAAGAATGATAATATAACAGCATGGAACAATCAAAAGTTATAGATACGTTGGAGACGTATCAGGGAACATTATCTTTGTCCTCGTGAATTTGTCATCCATATGGATCATGAGACGCTTAAATACCTTAAATGTCAAACAAAATTGAATAAGAAACATGCCAAATGGAGTGAGTTCATTGAGTCATTTCCTTATATTATCAAGTATATCAAAGGTAAGAAAAATGTTGTGGTGGACGCTCTTTCCCGCAAATGCATGCTTGTAACTCAACTTGAATTGAATGCCATAGGATTTGAGCACATTAAAGACTTGTATGCGCATGGTGTTTCATTTGCCATCCCTTATGCAAAATTTCTAACGCATAACACTTGGGAACGCTATTACATCAAGGATGATTATCTAATGAGAGCTAACAAGCTTTGTATACCCGAGTGTTCTCTTTGTTTGTTACTTTTTCAAGAGGCTCGTGGAGGAGGACTTATGGGACACTTTGGACGCGACAAGACATTCGCTACGCTCTCCAAGAACTACTATGGGCCCAAGATGTTTTGTGACGTATCCCGCTACACCAACCAATGTTGTACATGTCGCAAAGCTAAGTATAAAGCTCAATCCCATGGTCTCTGTATGCCACTTCCTATTCCATATCACCCATGGGAAGATATTAGTATGGACTTTGTGCTTGGTTTGCCTAGAACTCAAAATGGAAAAAAGATTCGGTATTTGCTGTTGTGGACCGTTTCTCTAAGATGGCACACTTTATTCCATGTAACAACATAGGCGATGCTTCACATGTTGCAAATCTCTTTTGAAGGGAAATCTTGTGTCTACATGGAGTGCCCAAGACTATTGTGTCGGACTGCGACGTCAAGTTCCTTAGCTACTTTGGGAAGACCTTATGCGCCAAGCTCGGAATCAAGCTACTCTTCTCTTAGGCATACCATCCACAAACCGACGGCCAAACGGAGATCACGAACCGGACATTATCGACTCTCCTCCGTGTGTTGATCAATAAGAACATCAAGGAGTGGGAGGAATGCTTACCCATCACTGAGTACGGCTACAATCGAGCAAAACATTCGACTACCGGCAAGTCCCCCTTCAAAGTCTCTGGTTTCAATCCGTTGTCCCCATTGGACATTCTACCGCTACCTCTACAAGAGCACATCAACATGGACGCGAGCGCACGAGCGAGCTATCTCAAGGAGGTGCATGAAGATACAAGACAATCAATCGAGTGCCAAGTACACCGCCTCGCGACCAAGCTCAACATCAACAAGCAACCCATGATATTCAACATTGAAGATCTTGTGTGGCTACACCTTTGTAAGGAACACTTCCCCAACAAACGCAAGTCCAAGCTACTACCTCGAGCCGATGGACCCTTCAAGGTGCTCGCATGCTACAACAACAATGCCTACAAGATCGACATACCACGCGACAAGTACAACAAGAGCGATATCTTCAACATCAAGGATCTCTCTCCCTACCATGGTGATGAGGTTTTCGATCCGAGATCAGATCTTTCCCAAGGCGGCGGGAGATGATGCGGAGCATCCTACGATCATCTCCATGGACCTACCTACGTCTCCCTAAGTGCCAAGTGGGCCAATGGCACGAGCATGTGCAAGAGCTCTCGGGACCGAGGTGACATATCTCCTTAGTGATATTCTGTATGACCCACGTGACACATGGCTACTACCTAAAAGCCGGAATGCTATGTGTGATTAGGTATGAAGAACACCCACTCAGAGATGCTCGTGAAGACGGACAAGTCCCCAAGTACATGGATGAAGAGGACCGAGGAAAGAAGCTGGAGAAAGCTCCCAAGACCCGGACATCCAGTCTCAGCCCCGGACATCCGGTCCCTGGAGACTCCATAACAGCAGCAACCCAGCAGTGTAGATGCTACAGGGCCCGGACATCTGGCCCGATAGCCATGGACATCCAACGCCAGCCCAAAAATTCGGCCCCTCCTTCACAGGACGCACCTGGAGCCAGACCCTGCCATCCCGGACACCCAGCCCTCATGCTCCGGACATCCCCCCCCCCTCGAAGGCCCGGACATCCGGCCCTACGCCTGAACATCCGGTTCCCCTGTCTGCGTGCAGTGCATCTGGGCTGAGGCCCATGTACCCCTTCGCCCCCTAGACTATATATACTCCTCCTTTACCTACGTTTTAGGGTTAGCAATGTGATAGCTCATTTTGGAGATAGAGCTTTGCTCATCCACTTGTACCCTTACTCCTTTGGAGATCAAGCCTCCCAGGAGAAGATCCCCCAAGTGGATTCAAGACCCCCTTGTGGAAAGATCCTCCAGTGGATTCAAGACCTCTTTCCTCACGGATTGGGATGAACTAGCTACCGTATATCCCCCTTTGTTGGATTTGGACCTTTGTATCCTGTTTGTATGTGGGTCTAGCACATGTGTAACCGGATCTCGTTGATTTGAGTGTTTTCCTCTTGTGCGTTCTTCGTGTTCTTCGGGAATCCCCCTCCAAATCATGAAAGGTCGGCCCCTAGGGATCCACCCTAATCAGATTTGGGACGCTAGTCGCCCCCACATCGGTTCGGCCCACCCCGAACGCACAATATCTTGTCCCTATGCACATCCTAGACCAAACCCTAGCCATTTGCCAGTCCATTCCACTTCAAGCTCGTTCCGCTCCCCCCAACTCCTCTCCGATGATCTCTGGCCTTCTCCAGCATGGAGGGTAGTGGATATGAGTCCGAAAACTTTGGATCTGTCGATTGGGACATCATTCCCTATGAGGAAGAGGAAGAGTTAGCAGTCCGGCTCACTCTCTGCCGGTATGGGAGGATACTCGAGCCCCATCGTCAAAGTCAATCCAACGCGAATCCATTGCCTCTATGCAAGCAAGACTCGGATTCGATGGCGTCCATGGCTCGAGGTATAGGCACGTCCCCGAGGACGCCTTAGCCTGTCCGCACAAACCCGATGGTGGGTCCTCGTCCCCGCGATGTCAGGCTCCAGGTCCAAGGTCAATGACACCCATGTGGCTGGCCATGAGTGCGCCGGAGAACCCATCCACAACGATACATCTGGGTCGAGGAGAGGCGCACCCGCCGTGCGAGGGCAAAGACGCGCCACATCGTTGAGGGTGAGTCGCACAACGCCACGTCGGGCGGCCCTGCAGAGTACAAGGGTGCAGACGACGCCCGTGCCTGTATCTTGACGATGTGACAAGTCCGAACGGTACGTGCCCTTACATTAGAGCAAACCCAAGTCATATGTGCCCTCGTCGGCCAGGTCCCCAAAGAGGAGGAGGATGCCAACTCTACCCCCGGCACCTCCAGCTTCATCGTCGAGCAGATCCGCCTCGACCCCTATGTCATCTTTGAGTGCTACAACCGGGACAAAGGGGACAAGACAAGGGGAAGGGCAAAAGGAAGGAACGGGAAAGGCAAGGGAAACCGTGAGTGATTTTACCTAGTAGAACATGCCGATTTTTGGTAGTCATTTGGCATGTATGATGAACTCCCCTATGTTATGTCCTAGTTAATCTACGTGTATCTATATAAATTATCTGTGTTGTTCTACACTGCATGATATTTCCGTGGATTTTATGGACGCTGACATTTGAGGGGCGGTCGGGCGCCGTTTACGGACGCGTCCGAACATGTCCGCATACAAGGGTGGTAGTAGATGCAACATGACAAGTGGATGATGTAACTGTATTTGTGTTTTTATTTAATAAAGTAATTTAGAATTTGTATAAAAAGAGTAACTTTTTTTTAGAAAAAGGGAGATAAAGGAAGACCTACCCGCCGTCACCCATCACTACCCCTCCACCACTCCTTTCTTTCGAGGCTTACTGCACCACTCCTTTTTGCTTTGCTCCGAGACAGATCGAGTGAGATCCAGGACGAACTCCCGGCCGGCGACCATGGCGGAGGCCGCACCGCCTCCTCTCCTCGGCGGCCTCCCTGACGAGATCGCCATCTGGGAGATCCTCGTCCGCCTGCCCCCCAAAGACCTCCTCCGCTGCCGTGCCGTCTGCCGTGCCTGGCGCTGCACCACCTCCACCCGCGACTTCCTCCTCGCCCACCACGCCCGCCAGCCCGCCCTCCCTCTCTCCTACGTCTACAATTTCGACGACCGCGGCGGCTTCTTCACAGACATCACCTCCTTCGACCACCAGGGAGGGGCCGCCACCCCCCAGACCGTCGCGCGACTTCGCCGCCATACCTTAACTCCGACGGTCTCCTGCGACGGCTTAATCGTCTTCCAGATAGACTACAAAGCTGATCGACAACTATTCATCTGCAACCCGGCAACTCGTCAGTATGGTTGCCTCCCGATGCTTTTTGGCGCTCCCCTATCCGCCGTGGGGATGCCTTTTGGCGCTCCCCGACCCGTGGCCGTGGGGATGTACTCACATAGCCCAACCGGCGAGTACCGCCTGCTATTGCTGCAGGAAGCTGAAGCACCAGATGGCTCCTCCCTCGTCTACACATACACTTTAGGCTCCAGCCAGCCGCCGGGCCACTACACATCGAGGGCCCCAATTTGAACGAACTGCTATTCTCGCGCGGACCTTTCATGTTCCGTGGTAGCCTGCACTGGTGCATAAGCAACATGATAATTGCATTCGACACCGTCGCCGAGTCGTTCCGGCAGATGCGCACTCCAGTTGTTCCTAATTTGTCTGATCTGTTTGAGATGGATGGAATGCTCGGCATGTCCAGTTTTGATGATTACAATGATGACGAGCCAATTGTTGATATCTGGATAATGCAGGACTACGAGTGCAAGGTCTGGGCTTTGAAATACCGGGTTGAAATACCGTATGCGGAGCTCACCTTGCAGTTTGGATTGTTTTACCCGCGTGATTGTGTGGTGTTTACTTCTTGGGTTGGCGATGTGGTAGTGCTGGTCCCGTTTGGCCGCTGGCTACTTCAGCTTGACGTGGGTGGCAGGTTGGTTGCCAGTTTCGAGGACAGAGGTGGACTCATTGGTCAGCCACATCAGCTCAAGCAAACTCTTGTTCAGCATACCTTCTTTCCGACACTAGAGGGTTATGTTGTCAATGATTGGCCTTTCATCTGAAGAGAAGATTATGTTGTGAACACGTAGCCTTTCATCCAAGGGCTGTTGACTCTGGTGGTGTTGTAGTATGTATAACCGGGTCCACTATGAGCCGAGCCCACTACCTACTTTGCTGGTATATTAAAAATAATGATGAAGAAGCTCGGACTATTTCATGGCTGTGTTATATTTCATTGAATATCATTCTGGGCGGAAGTGGCTGCTGTGAGTGTTGATGCTAAAAGTACAAGTCATTTGGATCATCATTTGAAATGTTTGCCAATATTTCTGACTAATGTCTCTGTTTTCTTGGACTGAAGAGTGGACTTATTTTCCCCGTTTATATAGTGATCTTATTAGTATTCAATAGTTAGCAATCTAGGTGTCTCTTGTCTCTGTTTACTGAACCGAATAATTGACTTGTCTTTTAATTCATGTGTACTTTTCTAGAGATTACCTAATTATTTTTTTAATACTAATTATTTAACAAATATACATTTGATTCCTGCTTTTGTGTTTGTTTGTTTTGTCAAAGGTGAATTTTTTTTTGTCAAAGGTGAAATGAGGTAGATTATCCTCCTTCTTGGCTGCAAGTTGTACCTGATTTTCCTAAAAGTTGGCGCACTAGTCAAATGAAATGTTCTGTTATTGTTGTAATTCTGTCTTTTCGTTGCATCATTTGGAATTATATATTTTTATTTCACTTTAGGTGCTAACCGTTGTAAGGAAGCAATGCATCATATGGTCTTGGATCTTAAAATATGCTTGAGAAAGAAACTTGTACTGATGTGCAGAGCCATGATTTTTTTTTCTGTGACTGGCGCAATGCGTATGAATTGGGTCCACTATGAGATGGTTTGTATCTTTTTTATGTACTCCCTCCCTTTCTTTTTACTTCGCATATTAGGTTTGTCTCAAGTCAAACTTTGATTGTTAACAGGTTATTATGACCAAGAATTTTGATTGTTAACACTCTTGCGTTATATTTTGTTGAATATCCTTTTGGGCTGAAGTGGCTGCCGTGAGTGCTGATGCTGAAATTGCAAGTCATCTGGGCCAGCATTTGAAATGTTTGCCAATTGTTGTGACTCATGTGCTGTTTTCTTGAACTGAATAATGGACTTCCTTTTTAGTTCTTAGTACTCAATAGTAGCAGTCTAGCTGTAAAATTGACCTGCCATTTGTTGAGGTCTTCTTTTTAGATTACCGTGTGGTCTTCTTAATACTAAATTTTTGCAAATATGTTGTGTTTTAGCTGTAAAATATGCTGTTTTCTTTGCGTTAGTTGTTTCTATGTTGTGTTTTAGCAGGTTGCTTATAATTGAGAACTACTTCTCCTAGCAAGTTGCACCTGATTTTCTTACAAGTGAGGAGAATTAGTTTTATTGAAAGATTGAATTATAAGCAACTTTTTGATGAAATGCTCTGGTTTGCAGTTCATTCTTGTTCATGATCAATTGCATTTGGTTAGGTATTGAAACATACTGTTATAATTCTGCCTTCGAGTTGCATCATTTGGAATTATATTAATCATTTCACTTTAGCTGCTAAGCATTTTAAGGAATCAATGCTTCACCTGATGTTTGATCTTAAGATAAGCTGGAGAAATGAAACTTGTACTGATAAGCAGAAGAAAGGTTATCGTGGTCAAGCGCAGGCGCAGATTGTCTCCCCTTTAGATTCTGTAATTGCCAGCCGCATGTTATTTTTTTCTTTGACCGCCGCAGTGTGTATGAATTAGGTCCACTATGAGCCGGCTAGATAGGTTATAATCAAGAAGCTCTGATTGTTTCATGGTTGCCTGAAACTTACACCGTGTGAATATTCTTTTTGCCTGAAGGGTTCCCGTGAAGTTAATACTAAAGTTACAAGTCATTCGGGTCAGTTTTTGAAATGTTGCCTGTTGTTCTGACTCATGTCTCTGTTTTCTTGAACTTAGCAGATATGCACGCGTGTCATGTTCCTATTTTTTGGCTGTAGCCGATTATCCGCTTGTTAGTGATTAACAAGTGAGTTAATTATAGCCAACTTCACTTGTTAGTGATTAACAAGTGATTAAATTATAGCCAGCTTTTCAGAAACGTTCTGCAATTCACTCTTCATTAATACATTGCATCACTTGGAATATTCTGTTATAATTCCAGGTTCTCGTTGCATCATTTGGAATTACCATTTCACTTTGGCTGCTAACTATTTTAAGGAATTAATACAATACTAGCACTATTCCTTTGACAATTAGCTAGGATCACCTATGTAGAGCTGATAGCAAAGATAAGAAATGAACCAAGTGTTTGTGGTGCCTTTCTTACTGTTGTTCTTTTTAACTGCAGTTACTGGTTATTACTTTGCGCATTAGGGATTATTTGGTGTTCACTGTATTCAAGAAACTACCGCACTCGATTTCCATCCGCACACAATACTGTATGGATATAACTTACCTAAAAGATGTATTCTTATTAGTTTAGTGCAGGCGATCGGCTGCGGTCATCATAAGGAAATAATAGTTCACTGTCATGTAAGGTATGCTCGCAGTTCAAACTATGTCTTGAGCTGTGGAGAACATCTTTGCTACTACTAGTTTGTAAGGCTCGCTCCTGTGTTTCCTCCTGAAGCACGGTGCAGCTAGTTTGCAAGAAAGGAAGAAAATGAGTTGAATCCTTGTGTGAGTGAGTCATGTGAGTGCATCTATCGCTGTGGTCATTTGACAAATTTTTCACGGAGAAGTGTGTGCAGCCTAGCCTAAATGCCTAACTGGACCGGATTCCTAGGTTTGTAAGGAACTTGTGATCCGTGCAGTCGTTCGTCTTGTTGTTTCACCTCCCGTTGGTGAGGTGAAACAGCGCATGATGCTACTGATTTCTCGCGCTTTCTATGAGCAAGCATGTTGATGCTCAAAATGATTTTTGTTAAGAGCAATCATGTTTATGCTGAGAATAAGGAGAGAAAACAAAACATTAGGAAATGATCGGGTTTTATGTTGCGACTGACTGTCTGGCCACAAATCACAATAAGAAGAGAAGTACCCTGGGGGTGAGACGTACGTGGGAATGGGTATGAAGATCACAATACGTTGTATGTTGTACCCTGGAGTTCGGGAATTACCGCCTGAAGAGGCATTCAGAAGTTCAGGCCCTGACTGGCTGTTGTTAGTCTGTTGGCGCCCTGTGCGGAGATCAGAAGCAATGTCCTGCTGATGCTGTGCCGCTGGTTTTTGGCACCTGAGGAATGGTGTTGTTAGTCAGAGCAAAAGTCCTGTTAACTGATAGCAGTTTTTCATTTATTTTCTTTTTTCTTTATGTTGTACATATTGTAAGTTTAATTTTTAATGAAAATTACTTTGTGGCTCAAAATAAAATACAGAGCAAAGGTAACGGTAACCATTGGCTCCTCCAGTATTATATTGTTTTGTCTTCGCCCGACCACCTGATTTCCAGATGTTTGCTTGACGATAAGAAGTCCAAGCAGAACATGTTTGCTTGAAGCAAGGCGACGGAGGATGCAGCAGAGCATCCTAGATGGAATATGATGCCCGATGCTTTAACGTCAACAGTTAAGAATAGGTCACGCTAGTGGACTGGAAGGTTCCGAAGATCAGAAGAGAGAGCAACAGACATGCACACGAGATTGCTACCTAAGAGCATCTGCACCCATCATTCTTGAGTCTAACTCTGCTAGTCCTCCCAATGCTCGCCGCCCATTCAAATTCGAATAGGGATGGTTACAACGTGATGGCTTTGCAAATATGGTTAAGAATGTATGGGAGAGGCCCGCCGTTGGTCGCACACCAATTCAGAGATGGAACTTCAAAATTCGAGCCGCAAGGTAGTTCCTAACTGGATGAGCGAAACACACCAGTGGCATATATAAAAAAGAAAAGCAGCGTCTTTCCACTATTATTGATGACCTCGACAAAATCGCAGAGACTCACACTTTGTCTCAACATGAGATTGACATAAAAAAATCAATCCAATGAGCAAATGGCACGTCTATTGCGAGAAGAGGAACTCAAGTGGTATTGAAGATCCGGCGCCCAATTCATTCTCGAGGGAGATAGCAATACACGTTATTTCCAATTGGTTGCCAATGGGCGACACTGGAAAAAGTGTATTTTTAGCCTCAAACAGGATGAGGGACGGATCGAAGGCCAGGAAGAGCTTAAGCGTTATATAACAAAATACTACAAGTCTCTATTTGGGGCTCCAGATGAAGGGAACTTTAGTCTCGATGAGACCCAAATAGATGATATTCCACAAGTCACGATTAAAGAAAATGATATCCTGACGGCACCTTTCTCTGAAGAGGAGGTGAGAGCTGCGGTGTTTCAAATGAAACACAATAAAGCTCCAGGACCTAATGGCTTCCCCGCAGAGTTCTATCAGAATTTCTGGGATGTCATCAAGACTGACCTAATGGAGTTGTTCAATTATCTTCATGCCGGCCAACTTGACCTATCTAGGCTAAATTTTGGAGAGATTGTTTTGTTGCCCAAGACAAAGGAGGCTGTACGGATCCAACAATACAGACCGATATGCCTCCTTAATGTCAGCTTCAAAATATTCACCAAAGGAGCGACTAGTAGGCTCAATGTGGTTGATGACCATGTTGTTCGGCCATCCCAAACGGCTTTCATGTAAGGAAGAAATATATTCGATGGAGTAGTTATCCTTCACGAGACCGTTCACAGGATGCACCAGAAGAACATGAGTGGGGTAGTATTGAAAATTGACTTTGAAAAGGCATATGATAAAGTCAAATGGTCATTTCTACAGCAGACCATGAGAATGAAAGGTTTCTCCGATAAATGGTGTGATTGGATCCAAAATTTCGTTACTGGAGGCAGTGTGGCTATCAAAGTCAATGATGACATAGGCCATTACTTCCAGACGAAAAAAGGATTACGTCAAGGTGACTCACTGTCTCCAATGTTATTTAATATTGTCGCTAACATGCTGGCTACTTTGATTGAACGCGCCAAACAGGATGGTCAAATTGCAGGAGTAGTGTCACATCTTGTTGATGGA